CATACCTTTAATAGTGGAAGTTAAATGGTTTGGTATTTCATTGTTCTTTACATAATAAATAGAGCATTACCGCTACATGACCACTCGGAGATACAACATTAAATCTCTTCTAGTGTTGAAAATATTTCACTCATTTGCTGCACTCACTTGTGAAACATTTTCAACACCCAAAGAGAAATTTCTTATCTCCAGGCATCCATGTAATAACCTGTACATGTATATATCCACCCCAGATGTTTATGTTCAAAAAGAAATATACCCTTGCCCCTGATACGTGCCCCCTCTCCAACAGGTATGTGTAATAATTATTTAATAAGCTACCAAAATAAAATTAAGCACCCCGGGTGCTATCCTATCATTACAGATTTACAGATACAATTACCTTCAGGAACCAAAATGATCTGATAATTTTTCAGATGAGCCTTATCACAAAGTAAGTACTTCAATCTGTCTGATGTTACAACATCATTTTTTTTTTCTGAAGGATTTATCTAGAATTCATCTACTGTAGAGATTAATTTTGAGAGCTCAATTATATTACCAAGAGGGATTAGTCTGGACAAATGTATTGCTTGCTTTAGCCAACTAATAAAAAGTAATACATCTACCCCCTGAGAGTTGTAACTCTCTGAAAGTGGAAATAGGAAAAGGCTGCTATCATAAAGTTAGTAAAGCCTAGCCTGCAGAGCAGGCGGGATTTTTTCGAGCAAGCGCTCCCATCGTAAAAATTTTAGCTGCCATCTTGAATTTTTCATGCAGTGGAAGACTGGAGAGAGAAAGAAAGTTCTACCAAGGGGGTGAATGATAGGCAAGAGGAAGGATAGAGGATGGGGTGGAGCGAAGGTTGTAATGCTAACTTGCCCCAATAAGACGCCTGCACTGCAGGCTAAGCAAAGCCATGCTATTAAACTCAGTAAAGCATACATTGGAGTCCAATGATGCACGCTTATAATGTGAGCAAGGTTAAAGTTACATCATCATTTTCGCCAATTGACAATGTTGTAAAACAACTGATTCATGCTACAAAAACTACAGTTAACTCTCGACTATGCCTCAAACAACCCTTACAGTCTTCTGTCATGCTCTTCATTCTTCCTAAGTGCATTACTGTATGTACATGTAACTCAATGATGCACCCCAAAAACTGAATCAATTGTCAAACAAGGATCATTACAGTACGCTTGGTACTTTACAGTATAAGATTAAAACTTGAGTTAGCGCAGACTACACACTTCACATAACACATAACAGTATCTTACCATGCATCTGACTCTAAACAGATGACCGGCTGAGCTTCAGTGCCTGGATAAAGTTTCTTTGCATTTTGCACCAAGGAGCAAACATGTCCTGCATACATAGGATTTGCAGTACCTTTAGCTGTTGAAGGAAGATAAATAATAATTAAAATTAAATCAAAGAGTTAACAATTGTGCACTTCTATAACTACTTCAATCAAAACCAAAATAAAATCAAGCATGTGACATAGATCAAGGAATGGACATCTGTGTTTTACTGTATATAATGCATTAGCCAATTCCAGCAGTGCCTATACCCCCAGGCAATAGCCAGTCATTTGTTCACACCTTAATGCT